GTCTACAGTTGTTTTCCATTCCTTTCCCCCCACACACATTTTATTGATCACAAAATTTCTTAAATAACCTAACTACTTTCAATAGCAAGTTCAGCTGATAATTTCAAGAAAAGCAGTTTTAACTTTAATAAATTAAAGCTTAGGATTCTGTTCAAACAGTAGGTACATGAACCTATCAACAGCTCAAGATAGGACAAAAATCCTTAAAATTGGGAAACAAAGCCTAGAAGAAAATCAGCAATGTTTTAGTCAAAAGTTATAAAATGCTATTTTACCAGTTCAGTCTTAATGTACTTAATCTATCTTCTGTTGTGGTTCAATCTTCCCAATAAAATTCTGGGATATAATATTCAACTCCAGACTTGTCCCAACGATTAAGTTGCTTGTTTTCTTAGTTTTTGAACTCTTATTTCCATGTGTCTGTATTTAATTTTCCTGGTATAGCACACCCTTCAGAACTTCTTGGAGATCTGGTCTGGTGTTGGTAAATTCTTTCAGGTTTTGTTTATCTGAGAATCTTGTCTTTTCTTCCCATATGAAGGATAATCTTGCCAGGTACAGTATCCTTGGTTGAAATTGCTTTCCCTTAACACTTTGAATATATTTTCCCATTATTTCCTCACTCGCATTGTTTCCGATGAGAGGTCTGCTGGTAGCCTGATGGGATATCCTTTGTAGGTAGCTGGCTGTTTTCTTCTTGCCAATCTTAGTATCTTGTCTTTGTCTGTGATTTTGGTCAATCTGGCTATAATGTGTCTTGGGGGAAGATCTTGAGTTGATTCCATTGGGGGTCCTTTGTATTTCTTGGGACTGGATCTTTGAGTGCCTCTCTAGGTTTGAAAAGTTTTCTTGCAGGATTTCATGGAATAGATTTTCAGTGTCCTTATGAGCCTCTTCGCCTTTTGGGATACCAATTATCTGGATGTTTGGACGTTTGACGGTATCTAGTATTTCCTCCTATATTATTCTCATTTTGGGGGGCAGTTTTCTCAGTCTTCATGGTAGATTATTCTAGGCCAGCAATTTTCTCTTCTACATCTGAGATTCTATTTTCTGTATGATCTAGTCTGTTTTTAATACTTTCAAGGGAGATTTTGACTTCCTGTATTATAGCCTTCATCTCTTACAGGTCCGTTTGATTCTTTTTTATAGTGTGTATTTCCTCTTTTAGATATTGCAAGAATTTCCTCACCTTCAGGAACTTGTCAGCTCCTATCTACTGTCTCTTCTGCAGTTGTCTCTGTTCTCTTCCATCTATGTTAACTTTGTCATTATGAATATACTAAATTCTTTATCGGACATTTCCATGATTTCTATTAAACTGTCTATGGATGAAGAGGAGCTATTCTTTTCCCTTGGAGGAGAGGTATTATCTTGCATTTTCATATTTCTTGTGACCCTGCCGTGATTTCTAGTCATCTGATGAATGATGTGTTTCTTCCTAATTCTTGAAGTTAAATATAAGTGTTCAGGAGCGTGCAGAAGGAGGTGATCTGGAATCTCTTTGCCATTCTGTTTTTATCCCTTTGTGTGGCAGATTCAGTGGATATTGAGGAATATATTAACCCTAATAGTATTTGGATGTTTGGCTATGGTTCCCTTAGATCTGTCTAGAAAACAGTGAATGGTGACTGAAGAGCAGAGTGATGAGATAAAAGAAAAAGAGAAAGAAATAGAGATGAAAAAGAAAAAAAAAGAAAGAGAAAAAAAGGGAAAAAAGAAACAACCAAAAATTTTAGTTTTTTTTTTTAAGCAAAAAGTAAAAAACTACGTGCTGCATGAAATCACTAGTTCTCAGGAGCAATGGTGGAGTTTTCTTCTGAAGACCTGCCCCTTGCCTCTCCTGGAGTGGAGGAGTAAAGGGGATTATTAGCAAGATAAAGGAGGAATTGAAAGCTAAGAGAATACTTTACCTTAAAAAATTTTAAGAAGGAAAAAATTACCAAAAAATGAAAAGGCAGAGAGAGACAGAGGCAGAGAGAAGGCTAGAGGGGCTCCCTACCACTCGAGTTTTGGGAGTGAAGGCTGAATTATCAGTAGAAAATCTTCACTTCTCTTTTTTTTCCCTGAAATCACTAGTTCTCAGCAGCACTGGTCCATGGCATGTGAATTATATGTATCAAAAAAAGAAAGCAAGAAAACCAAAATGGCTACAGAAAATCATACCACTGCAATAACACTTTGAAAAGAAAATACAGTGTCCAAGAAGTTGAGGAAAGATGTCAGATATCATTATTATTCAGGAAAATGGCAAATGAAGTAATATCATTGGTTGCCAAACAAAACGTCAAAATTATAGAGACTGGCAGCGTCAAGCACTTTACCTGTTGGAGTTTCTCATCTCTCTGACACTCACTGATCATAGCACTTCCCCAACGGGCATGCTAGCTACCTGTTTCTACTCTTACATCCCTGTGGCAACCTCAGTATCTGTTCTGCCTCATCACAGCCATGATCACTAGATAAAGTTTGCCATGCACCTTGTGAAGTATACCACACATACCTACAAAAAAACAGTCCTTATTTTATGAATATAAAGTCTTCACCTTGGACTATCAGATCAGTCTGGTCCAAAAGTAGGGAAAAAATGACTTGATGTTGTTTTTAGATTTTTCTCCTTGAATTGATAGGTGTTTTTTTGTTTTGTTTTGTTTTGTTTTTGGTTCACCCTCCCCAGCAAATGGAAAATAAAGCACTATCTATATCCCAAACCACAGTAATGTATAAGTAGTTATTTTTCTGTTTTATAGAAAAAACTGAAGTGCATTGACTTGACTTGCTCAATGTAGAGAGAGGTGGGCCTTGTGTAGTTCAGGTCTGCGAGTTACAGAACTCTGATTATTTTGATTATGTCACATTATCTCTGAGACAGGAGGAGTTTGGTGGTTTTGCTGTGTCGTTGCTGCGTTCTTGTTTGCGGTGGACTGATCTTTTGTATTTCAGAGTGATTTTTTTTTTAAAGATGGTATTTAACATATATTCTAATATAAAAAATGGCATTAAATTCTTAGTTAATGCAGTCAATATTTATTGAACACTTTCTGCACGCAGACGCAAGGTTGGGTATATAGTGGTGAATACATTGATTCTGACTTTTTAAAATTTTGAGTTTAGACAAGAAAGCAATCATGCAAATAAACATTTGAATATGGCAAGATCCTTGGCACAGAGTAAGTCTTTAGTAAGATGCTGGTTACGTGAGGAGATGATCAACTCTGCTGGAATGGCCAGAGATGAGGCGATCCAAGTGGACATCAAGGTTGCGTAGGAGTTTGTTAGCAGTGGTAGGAGCACCTTTTCCTGTGTCTCGACTGAGAATGGGAGGTTTAAGTACATAACTACTCAACAGTATGAAAAACGTGATTGTTAGTTTGCAAAGAATGCTGTGTTCCTTTACACCTTTTTAATAATTAGCTTTGCATTGAGATATAATTAAAACTTCTTGGTAAGATACAGAAGGCCTTAGAAGGGAAATGCTTTTTGCTAACATGTGCTTTGTAAAATACACTGCAAAACAAATAGGTATTTTCACATCTGCTTCTTGGACTTTCAAGTTAAATGGACAAGATAAAAAATTGTGAGTTCATAAATAATTTTTTTCTTTTATCAAATTATAACTTGGCAAGTGAATATATTTGGATGTGTGTTTTTTATATTTCTAGGAAACTGGCTTTAATTTGTAACTGTTTATAGATTTTATGTTATGTTTTAATGGTTAGCTTTTGATGAAATTATAGTTTAAGACAGTTTTGCAATATTTGTTTAGTAAAAAGTTTCTTATGTATTGAGAAATTTCTAATATTAATCTGTACATTTGTTATCTAAAATAACAAACATTTAATTGCCAGTTTATCAATAATCTCTTAATAGATCCAATTATTGACATAATTGTTTTTTAAGTATCTTAAGAAACTATGTTACTATATAAATCTAGTAAAATGTTTTATATGAAATTGTATACTATATACCAAGAATTAGACAAAAAACAGTATATTAAAATCAGTGCCTTGTAGTTAATCCAAAGTGGTAAAAAGGAAATCCTTCCAACTCCCTTATTTCTTACTATAACCTTTTTGTCTCCTATTTCATTTTTCCTCTTGGGATAATAAGACAACCGAAAAGGGAAATGGGAACCCTCCAGTTTCAGGTGCTTTGATTTGAGCACATCATACTCCTTTTACTTTCGGGCTGTATGGAACAGTCAGCTACCCACTGTGTAATGCAAATTTTTGGAGGTATGCAGAGACAGTTCTGGAAAACAAGGAACCTGCCTATGGGTCTTAAAAATAGTGACTGGCAACTGTCAGGATGAAAGGCTGGGATTTTTGTTTGTGTCTTATTTGTTTTGTTTTGTTTTGGTTATCATCAGAGCTGATGTTTTGGTACGCCACTGGAAATTCAGTATCCTTTGCTTGGTGATGGCAGAAGGTTCTGATATGCTGTATAGGGGAAAACATTGAAATTATGTAATAGTTGGAACCAGCAGTTAGCATAATGGCTATGTCGCTGGACTCCCACGTAGTCGACTGCAGTTCGCGTCCCGGACCCGGTGGCTTAAAACTCATGCTGGGCGCGTGTGCGTGCATGCCCAAGATCCCGAGAGGGGAATAGAGGAGAAGGGATTGCAGCGTGGCCATTCCCCCGGGGGGTGATTTCTCGCTTTCTGTCTCTCAGTCTCTCTCTGTCTGGCGAGCACACGCACCCTATAGCGAAAACCTCTCAAAAAAAAAAAAAAAGAAATTATGTAATAGTTTAAAGGCAGTACTCACTGCAGATTTATTTTATTGCAATTTAAAATAATTATTATCTTATGAATATCTTTTACTGTATAAACCTACTGATCTATCCTATGTGCAATTATGTACTATATACTAAGAACGATACAAGAACACTGTATTAAAATCAGTGCTTTATGGTTAATCCCAAGTGATTAAAAAGGAAATAATTCCTTCCGTTTATGAATACAAGTCAAAGAAAGAAAAAATATATTTCATTTTTAGATTATATAAATGGTGGAGAACTTTTTACTCATCTTTCTCAAAGAGAGCGTTTCACAGAGCACGAGGTGCAGATCTATGTTGGAGAGATCGTGCTTGCCCTCGAACATCTCCACAAGGTAAGACGCTACATCTCTGGAGTTTCTTTTGTGAAAATCTTATTAACTGAGGTAGTGGTAGAGCTAGAAGGGCTGATGTTTTCCATGTCATTGTCTTGGAGCGTGTGAAAGCATACTGCAGGGCCGTGTCAGCGTTCTCCATTTCATAGTTGCCTGTTTAAAAATCTCCTCTCATCATAGTCGTTGTGATACAGATTAAGATGGTAGAATCTGAACAGCACTTTTGCTTTCTTCATGAAAAATCATAATGCTTCTTTATGACAATGTTATTAGAATAAATGCTTTTAATTCTTAAAGCAACCTTTAGCCAAAACCACAAGTAATAATATGTGTTTCTTCAAGTGTGACTTACTCCATTACAGACTGTGTCTTGAGGGTATACTTCCTGTTAGGTTGGGGAGTAAGAGCTGTTTTTCACTCTCCTACGTGGGCTTTCTTGTCCTCATCCCCTCCCTCCTCCTCCATTGTCTCCATGTAATAGGAACTTAGGTACCAGAAACTTTAAATGGAGGTCATGTGTGTGACCCTGTTTAAAGTCTGTAAAAATCAGTTTAAATGATTTTTTAAGTATTACTGCATATACCATTAACCTTGATCCAGAAATTTTGACTTAAAATGTTTTTTTACTTAATGAAGAAGCATTGTAGAAGGAAGCAATCATTATGTAGACTGAACTTGGGAGTTTTGTTTTGTTTTTGTTCCAGACATAGAAAATGCTAACCTAATTTTTACCAAAGGTGTGTGAGTTCATAAAAAGACTAGTGAGACTCACGTCATTGAAACCACTCTTTGACATGTTGTATTCAGGTCTTATTCTAGTTTAAGATTTAAGATTAGAGTGCTGATTATGGGTCATAAAACAGGAAGGAGAGAATGGAAGGGGAAACACAAGAAAGAAGGATATGGAGGCAACAGATGGGAGAGGCTGTGGGAAAAGATCATGGGAAGCTACACAAGAAAAGCAGAGCTCAAGGAAAGGGTGGATCTAGCCCAGAATGCAAACAAGACTGGACAGGTGGAGGGGATGGTTCAGAATACGAATATTAAAGATAGTGAATGACGAATGTATCGAGAACCAG